GGAGCGGCCCCCTCCCGGCCTGCTGCCCCCCCCTCCCTGCCTCCGGCTCTTCCCGGTGCCCCACTTGCTCCCAGTGGGTTCTGGGCCCAGCCCTGGCCCTAGACAATGACAGCCTGAGACTAGGCCTTGGCCTTTCTGCCTCTGCCCAGGTCCCTACCCCACGCAGCCACCCATCCCTCTGGTGCAGTAGGACAGAGGGGGATTGTCCAAGGCAGCTGCCACATGCTCCCCTCCCCCAGCCTGCCATCTGGCCTAGGGCTGGGCTGCTGACAGCCAATCCTCCAGCAAGGTTTGCGGGGCCCCACCTCCAAAATAGATCCCCGTCCACTCCTCACCATCTCTGGCCTGGCTGCCACTGCTCAGGTCACCGTCATCCCTCGCGTGGACTCTCAGCTCTTGAGGAGCCTCCCTGCTTCCACCCTTGCTCTTGGGCAGCCTCTTCTGGGCAGCCAGAGTGAGACTCATAAATGTAAGTCAGGCCACCACCACCACTTAAACCCTCCACTTTCTCCGTTCCCCTTTAGAATAAAATCTGAGCTCCTTGCCGTGGTCTCTGAGACTTTGCATGATCTAGCCCCTGCCTGCCTCTAACTAGATCTGTCCCCTCCTGCCCTGGGACTCCCACGACCCTGGCCTCCATCCCGTCTCGCAAACATGCCAAACTTATTCCTGCCTCAGGGCCTTTGCACTTGCTGTTCCCTCTCGTTAAAATGCTGTATTCTAGAGCATCACATTTCTGGCTCCTAATTCAAACTGAAAAAAAATTTTGTTCAGGCCAAATAAAGCAAGCCCAAGGGCCAATTTTGACCCATGTTGCCACTCCTGATCTAGAGCTTCCAAACTCCACATGTTTTCTTTTCCTTACAAAGCATTTCCTCATTCAGGGATTGGCAGACATATTCTTCCTGTTTGGTTTGGCCCCATTTTATCGATGGTGCTCATTGAGGAAGGATGGGGCATCATGGGAACATCTTTAGCATCTTCCTGTCTCGAATCTCTTTCTCTAACTCCATCCTCCCCAGAGCCTCCCTGAGTCTTTTTCTATAATATGAACTTGATCACATTGTCACCCCTGTCCCATCCCTGCAGTTGGTCCCTAAGTTCCCTAGCCTGGCTTTTGAGTCCCTTCACAAACTAAACTTCCTAGCTTCAAACCTCCCTACCTTTGTTCATGTGTTTCCCTCTACTTGGGATGCCCTTTCCCTCTTTTTGAGCCTATGAACACCTATGCAACCTTCAAAACCCAGCTCAAACATCCCTTCATCTGGAATACCTTCTCTGGCTGAATTAAATCATTCCTTCTAGGCCTGTCTGGTTCATACAGTCTTGTAGCACTTATCATAGAGTATTATGAATAACTGTAGCCGAGCTATTTCTCTTTAAAGGCTGTGACCTTGTCAAGGTCAGGAACCTTGTCTTATTAATCCTTGCCACCTGACCATCCAGCCCAGCTCCGTGCACACATTAGGCTCTCAGTATGTAGTTACAAAATAAAATCTTTCTGCTGGCACCTGTTAGATCACTGGTTCAAACTCCGGTGACCAGTGTGTAGCTCAGAATGCAAAACGCTTGGAACAGCTGTCCCATCGCCAGTTCAGCTCTTGGAACGAGCTCAGTGAATGCTTGTTGAGTGAATGAAGGTGTGGAGGTGAGTGAATACAGAGGACTTGTCGCTTGTGGTCTGACATTCACTGTGCCATTCAGAACGTTGCTTTGGTGGAGCTCAGTGAATGGTGGCAGGTGAACGACTGGATTCTTGGTCTGCAGAATATTGCCACCTGACGAGGAAGAACGGGGAGACTCTGGAAGAAGTCCTCGGAAACATGCTTCAAATCTTGAGGTGGTGAGGCCTCTCCTTCCACCAGCTCCGCCAGCAGATAAAGGAGGAAGAGGAAAGAGAGGTGGGGCCTCCCTGCCACCGACCCGCAGAGCCATCATCCGACCCGGAGCGGCGCCAGCACTGCAGAGCACGGGTGCCAGTTTCAGGAAAGAGAGAGTAACACTGGTGAAAAGGTTGCTTCTGCTTCAGAGATCATTAATTTTCTAGAAAGACAGTGGGTTCCCTTGCCATGAACATGCATGTGCCTGTGCTTTCTGTGTGCCGTTCTTCATGGGGGAGGGGGCGACAGGTGAACCAGCCAGGTCAGGAATTAAAGTTACCTGAGCAGTGCGTGAATGAGGCCGCTTCCTGGAGCCGCTCTGGGTTAGCACCGGGTCCCAGGCTTTTTCACTAATGGGGGCCTTTTATCATTTTCCTCCCATCGCTGAGATGTTTTGGAATTTCTTTTCTTACCAGATTTTATTTACTACAGAACAATACTTTTTCTTATTAACCAAACACACAAAGGTGCCACTGCTGGCTTCTGACTGGCCCAAGGTGATCAGCTAGACCGCTCCGAGCTGGTATAAAGACAGCCCAAAGCAAAGGGCTTGACATTTTTATTAGCTAGTATTCCCCATGACGACTAAAAGATTGATTTATATCTGGCTTCTGAAAATGCTGGAAGTCGCTCCAGGGCCTGAATAATAAGCCCTCAATAAATGTTAGCTGCTATTCTTATTACAGTTATGGCTGTTACATCATCGTCATCTCTGTGGCCTTCTGGGAAGCTGAGAACACGAGATTAAGAGCCACGATCCGTACACAGATGGCAGCAATCACAATGATGATAATGGCTGAAACTCCCTGCACCCTCGCTGTGAGCCGGGTGTTCTTTCCCATGCTTTACAGGCATGTCTCATTTCATCTTCCCACAACCCTTGGAGGGAGGCATTATTTCCCCCCCCATTTTACAGATGAGGATCAAAGAGGTGACGTAACTCGCCCAACGTAAGTGTCGGAGGGAGCGAAGGTCTGTCTGATTTAGGCCTGGGCTGGTCCTTGCAGGAAGGGCCTTCTCAGTCTGATTCCTCAAAGAAGCATCATTTATATTAATTCCGGGCTTTACATTCTTGATCCTGGAAAACTGCACGTATGGTTATATGGCTCTTCATAGGGAAGTTGCAGACATCTGGCTGAATCTGTATACTTTCCCTAGTTCTGGAAATTGCACATATGTCTTCCTCGTTGTGAGTTCTTTGGAGCAGCCGCCCTCTTTGATCTCTCCAGAGGGCTTCAATATACTCATGGAGAAGACGATGGAATAAACTTCCTGGTGAACCGAAGCTCTCCTCCTTCAGCCTTGAACGGTTCCCTCAAAGGATATACACACCCCGTTCCACCTGGCTCAACACGCCCTGCCATCTTTCTACCTCTCTCTCCGAATGGTGTCAGATGATCCTGTGGCCCAGGGCACACACCAGTTTCCAAAGCCCAGTAGATTTTAGAGTTTGGTTTGATTTGAGTCTCCCTGAGAATCAACAAGTAAACCCAGAATGAAGGCCAGAGGTTGGTGTTCCTCCAGGACACAGGGGTGTGTGCAGAGATTCAGGACTGTAGCCGGAACCCCGGACCCAACCTGCAAAAATGGGGAATTTGTTTTACAACCGTGGGGATGCTTTGTAAACTCCGAGAGCAGGAACGTAGCCAGTCTTAAGAAAGCCTGGAACCGCAGAGTAGAATGCCTTGGAGACCCTCTCTTTGTCGTTTGATCTCTGATTTCCTCCCTCCTCAGCACACCAACTCTCTCTGCTGCTCTGAGGACAAGGTGGGCAAAAGATGGCCGCCTCAGAGTTCCCAAGTCGCTGGAGACACTGCCTTCTTTCTCGGCCCCGCGTCGGATTCCTAGGGAAGGAAGCTCGATTGACTTGCTGGGGTCAGGTGACCAGCCCTGGTGCAAAGTGGTTGGATCATTTTGAACAAATATGGAGGCTAGTACCTGTAAGGTTAAATCGTGGAGACAGTTAAGGGCATCATTGTCTTAACAGTTAATGGTTGACCCTTCCTCCCCCAAAAGAGGGTCTGCTTTAGCCTCTCCCCACTTTCCTGAGGCTGCTCTGTCCCCAAGATTCCCTGGTGGACATAGAATCGGCTGCCTCCTGCCATTCCTGATGTTAAGGTGCAGTCACCCTACCCGAGTCTGGAGTTCCCTCTGATGTTCCCCTGCTCAGGCCAGGACCTAGATGGGCATCTGAGACCATCCTTGAGAACAAGGAGCAGGGTTGGCGGTAAAGTTTGGATTATCCAAAGCTGGTCTGGTTCTCTGTGAACTCTAGGAAGAGAGTTTCGTAACAGGGGCCGCATGTGGTGGGGGGATGAGTGCACAGCAAGCAGGGTGCCCCCAGGTGGGGCAGAGCTGAGGGGAGGGGCCCCTGGGACAGGGCCAGGCCCACGCCACACGTTGCTTTGGCTCAGCTCCTACACCTGAGAGCCCACTAGCCAGTGCTCACGTGCTCCGTTTGCTCTGAGGGTTCCATAAGTTTATTCTGGTATTTTAATTTTTTTTTTTAATGTGGAACATTATAGAAATCCAGAAAAGCACAAAGAAGAAAATACAACTCACTTAGAAACTGCTCACTGTGAATGTCTTAGGGTATATCATTCTGGTGTTTTAGGTTTTGATTTTTTTTTTTTAATGAACAGTTTTGGGGGGATGGGGCAAAAATGGGGTCACACTAAATGAACTGTTTTGAAACCTACTTTCTTCACTCTCTCCCATATTCGTACATGGTCTTTGGCAACACTTCTGCAAGTTTGGATGGGGGATGGAGAAAAATATGTGCTGCGTTCATTGGCTCCCCATGGGGCCCTGCGGAGCTGCAGCCCCTCTCTTGATTTCTCTTTTCCTTCTGGTAAAATTATGGAACGTCTTCCTCACGTCACCCTCATGCCCACCCCCACTACTGTCCCGAGGGCAGCAAGCCCACTCCTGCACGTTCCCAGTGCCGGGGACTGGCATCTTGCTGTGTGCACATGCTGTGGTCACCCCTGCTGGGTGGCTCCACGGGGCCCATCTACAGCTCAGATGCTGGCAGGCTTCCTGCACTCCTGCTGCTCTCTGCCCAGGGCTGCCATCAGCCCGTCTGTCCGTTCAACGTCCCTCCTGTCCTCTGCTTTGCAGACTCTCGCCCAGGGGTTGCAGAGGGAGCTGCTCTGGCGCTGACCCAGCACAGAAAACCATCAGGTAACATCAACAACCAAAATCAAAACAACCATCTATGGAGGAGTTCTTTTCTGAACCATTTGGGTGAAAAGCACCCTCACAGCCATTAAAGTTTATTTTGGCCATAATTCTACAAGCCAGATAGGATTCCCCCCCGCCCCCATTTTACAAGTGGAAAAACTGAGGCCAGAGAAATCAAGAGTAGTACTTAGGGTCACTCTGCTGGTAAAAGGTGGACTGGAGATTTGAATCCAGGACAGGTCTGATCCAGTGTCATATGCTGTCTTCTACCCCATGCTGCCTCTGCAACTAAAGAGGTAAGAAGGGTGCAGAATGTAGGTAGAACATCTGGGGGAGACCGAGGGTCAGAGAGGTCATCCAAGCTGGTAGTCCTTCCTTGCCTGAGGGCTGGGCTGGGCTCCCGGCCTAAGAATCTCCTTTATCGGGATTTGTTAAAAGTATAGATCCGTTCATCGATGATGGACGCTTAGGTTGTTTCCATCTCCTGGCCATTGTAAATAGAACTGCAATGAACATTTTGGTACATGACTCTTTTTGAATTATGGTTTTCTCAGGGTATATGCCCAGTAGTGGGATTGCTGGGTCATATGGTAGTTCTATTTGTGGCACATATATACAATGGAATATTACTCAGCCATAAAAAGAAACGAAATTGAGCTATTTG